GAGGTGATCACTTCCTCTTAATTTAAATATACCTAAATGTAAGCATCACAGATACCCGCATCTTCCTACAGCACTTCCAGTGAGGAATCACATGGTACCATCAGAGAGAGAGAGAGAGAGAGAGAGAAAAGGGGACAGATGCATAAGCAACTGCTGTATTACTAACATTTGACCCTTGCACAGTCACAAGCTGGGCTGGCATGATCTGATGCTTTAACTGCCCACCAGCAACCTGTGGATGGCTACACCCGTCATGTCTTGGAAAAGGGTATTGGGTACTGTATCTGGACTGTATTGACCATTGGCATCTCTCGCTGTTCAAAGAATGAAATGTCAGAGTTGCAATCTGTGTTCTTCAATGAGGGACTCAGAAAGGACATGTGATGTGGGGGGCGAGCAAACAAGCAATCGCCGCTGCGGCTAAATCAATGAACCCTGAAGAGGAATGAACCCTAAAGAGGAGTGACAGTAACAGAGTAGAGACGTTCTGAAAAATGCAGTGCATATAGTAACAGGCAAGGAACATTTTAACGAGCCTTGGAAAGGAGTAGAGAGGAGAGTGCTTTCGATTTCCTTACCAGGAGGTGTCGAGGATGGCCACAAAGATCAGAAAATAATGATACAGCATAGCACTTGCAAACTGCTTGAATGCACGTATAATAGCACTTGCAAATTTCAATGCCTTGAAAAGTGGTACTTGATAGTGCACTTATCTTTGCTCACTATCTAGGTAAACAGGTGCCGCATGAGCTATGCAATTTAAAGTGTTGACCCATACTAGACAAAACTGGACTTATGATATGACTTTTTTATATTTTTTTATACTTGAAATTAAATCTTTTGCTTCTTTTTTAAAGCGAATGATTGCTTTTAATGTTTGCACTGATTTAGTTGCATGATTAGTCAAAAAACTGCCATTTGAAAAAAATGTTATTTTTATAGCAGCAAAAAATGAATACAGTTAAATGTATTATACATAAATTTTGGAACCAAAGAGGCCAACATATTAGTTATAATTTTTATGAGATGGCAAAGCCATCATATCATGTAGTCATACTGAGCAATCCCTCACGAGGCCTACCAATTGTTTCAGGGTACAAAATGGATTCTGTTTGTTCTATTCAGCGTCTTTTCTATACCATACGCACATGGAATGTAGAGTGAAAAATAAAAAGACTATTGTAGAATACATTACAATATGTGCATCCTTTAAATCCAATTTTTATGTTTATTTAATAAAGTTCCTTTTAGGTTCTGTTCCGTAATAATTTAAACCAAACAATTTTCACTTAGATTTGCTGTTGAAGTATTTTACATTTGTGTACAGTTTAAATAAATAAAAAAGATTGAAAACTGAATGTGCTTTTCGTTTTTCTTTTTTTCTTCCCCCTCCCCCCCCCCCCTTTTCAGTGTGTAACATCTGGAGAAACTTGCTTACTTTCAGGACTGCATGCGGCTGCAGACACTGAACTGTCGCATTAGACTGTAGTTGTATTAGTCACTGCAGAAAGCCTTGTCTGAGAGCTCAGCTGTGCTCCTAAAAATGTTACACTCCACTTTTATTGCTGTCTATACATGTAAGCATCTGCTTCTTTCTATCTGCATCAGTGCAGTGTCTTTGGGCAAAGGAACGGCGCTGTTCCGCATACCTGCAGGTCATTTACAGCAAGTTCCTGGTTCACCTGCTGTGTAAGAATGTAACTTCTTGTCTAGGTCACTCCCTCGGTGGTTACAAGAGGTAAAAATATAACGTGGAAAGCACTTCCAGGAAAAAGAGGTCAATACTGTTTGATGAACTTTTTGCTTTTTAATTAGCTGGCACCAAAGAGAGGTTTTCTTTGAGTAAAACGCATCCCCTTTACTAACAAGGGATTACTAACAAACCCCAAAATACTCACAGAAATTCTCAGCAGCTGTGCATATATCTAGGTATTGATTTCATTGATCTTCACAGATAAATTCTTCCTCCTGGAGACCTGAGCAAATGCCAGCTGAAGCTGACAGAAGGACCTCTGTTGACTTAGCAAATGTTAGGTCTGACCCTGAGACCTGGAAAGTGTTGAAGAAGCAAGTTCATGCAGCTAATGATGGGTTCTAGTTACAATTCACATTCAAGCACAGCCCACCCCTCCCCAAAGCCAGACTGCAGTAAAATTACTTTGTTTCAGGAGACCTGTAGGAGCGATTTGCTGTGGCTGTGTCAACAACCTGCTGTGCAGAACTTTGTCCCCACACCAAATTTTTTGAATATTTCATAGTTTTCTCACCACCTTGAACTGCACATTTATTGTCAAAGCTCTCTGCTCCATCTCTTAGCAGCCTTCTCCCTTTGTTCAACTGTGCTACTGATAAGTTCAACAAATTCCCCTCGAAATCAGTGGCAAATAGATGTCCCTTCAGTCTGAAGGCACATTTGACCTAATATGACACTGTCGTTATGAACAAGACTGGGCTGCACTTTTAAAAATGGGATATATTGAGAAATCTTTCCCATTGAAATGCAAGGCCCTGGAGGCTGGGTCCGGTTAGGTTTCATTCTTAATTGAAAGTGTTTGGTTTCTGGGGTTGAAGCCAAGCCCTGCATTGGACACTGGGACTCCTGTGCTCTCCCAGGAGGAGAGAAGGGTGTCTCGGCATGGGATTTGGACCTGCAGTCCTGGGGAGCAGGGAGCTGCTGACAGCCGGGATAGTATGAGCTTGGGTTGGTCAGAAACAAGGGGCAGGAATGGGCTGTGTTCTCCATCCCACTACAAACTCACAAGCAAGAATAGGAGCCTGAACTCTTTCAGGAAGAGAACATCCCTTTTCTTGGTAAAAAGCTTTCATAGCTTTCTTCCCCTGCCTTCCCCACTCAGCCATTTGCTGCTACAGCCCTGATATTCAGGGGGCAGAAACAGAAATGCAAAGAAGAGCATGAATCAGTACGGTGTCAGGGGCATCATGAAGGAGTGGGAAAAGCTAGATCATGGTCCAGGTTCCCGAGTCCTTTTATTTTGTGTGAAATGGCCTCTGGATATCGATTGTAACAGAACACACTTTGAGTTTTCTGCAGAGTGGAGTCAGTGCTCTGGGTGTGCTGCAGATAGTGAGGAATTCCTGAGTCCTGGTGCCATCAGCAACCTGTCACACAGATTTCTAAGGCTAAAATAAAATAAAATAAAATTTAAAAGGTCTTTAATTTTGTGGGACCAATCTGAAACAGTTGGGCTTGATTTTTCAGAGATGTAGCAAGGCTAGTGCTCTTGCCAGCTTTTTGCAAGGAGCTGCAGGAATTTCACTTTCTGCAGCTTCCACCTCCTGCATTTTTGAAATCAGGCAAAATGCAAGATGCCCAAGATTAATGGCTGCATTTTGAAAATGCTGGGGTTTATTTTCCCATCTGTCACTCCCATCCTTATAAAACTGAGCATCCAGTTTCACTGCCTTATGCCAGGTTAAGTACTGTACCTAAAAAACCAGCTTGGTCTGGTCCATACCCTCCCTGAGGTAACTAGGTGTCCCTATAGTCTCTGATAGGCTTTGAATTTGATCCTGTAAATGCTAAATCAGTGTCTTCTATCATGCAGAAGAATCAATCTCTGCAGCTGGAAAATATTAGTCCTTTAAAATATTCTAATGCAGGCAAAACCCTGGTCCCAGTGCCTGGACCTCCCACTGGCATTAATGAGGATGGTGTGAACGGGGTGACTGTCATGATGTGGTGCAACAGAGCACTTGGTGGATTAACTCTGCATACATCATGTATTTCCACACATAATAGACACCTGCTCCAAAATTGCCAGCTCTCACCTTCTTTGCTTCGTTGCTTGTGAGAGATGAAGTCAGCAGCTGAAATTAATTGCTGCACTCTCTGTGCCATGGGAGAAGAGGGAAATCCCTCACTGAATGAATCCTTTTTAAGAATAATTTTTGTTTGGAGTGGTTTCTCCAGTGAAGGGCTGGAAAACATTTTGCCTAAGAAGAGAGTCTGTTTCTGTTAATACTGGTGTCAGTCTGCAGTAGCTCCCCTAAAGTCTGCAGATATAGTTCAGGCTAGCACCAAAGACACATCTGAATCTGTTTTTCTTGAAATCCTGATCGGGCCCAGCTCAATCCCAGTATTTCTAAAACTTCTCTCTTTTTTTTTTTTCTCCCCTGCTTTGGAATCAGCAGCTAAAATATTTTACAGCACCCACAGGTGCTGCATGACAGATCAGAAAAAAAGAGAAGCCCCCAAACCTGGTCATGAACAGAGGAAGAATCTCCCTGCACACACTGGAATTTGGCCAGGAATTAGCAATCTCTATTGGTATAACATACCCCAGTAGCTTTCATTTGCTTGCCCAGTCAGTACCCTTGAACCAAAAGCTGGATTTACCTGACTGCTGGTAATTTGAGGGTCCAATTTTATTTAGGTACCTTCATTGATTTCAGGGGAATTGTTTCTGATTTGTACTAGAATAAGTGGGAGCAGATTTAGGTTCTTTAATGTTCTTCCAGTTTAGCTCTTGGAATAACTTATATTTCATTATTATGTGTTTATGTAATTAGTGCAATTATATCAAATTATATAATTGGTACAATTACTTGGACTCATGTAACCACTGCATATAGCATTCCATGCTGTAAAATCTTTTACCCTGGAAAAAAAAAAAGTCAATATTGCATGGGAATCTTAATTTGTTTTTAAATTCCAGTATCAAATTTAGGGCCTGCCCACATGCAAGGAACTTCTGGTTCACATCACTGGAACCTCTCCGAGCAGGCAGCTTGCAGCCTTCATCATAGACACTGGGTTTTTAATCTGATTTGGCCAATTCTATTCAACAGAGGCCCTCCTTGAATGTGTGCAGCTCTAAACAGACTTTCTCGTACAAAGCAGAGATGTCAAGTTTTATACACATGCCATTTTAACCTGAAAGATCTCTGAAGCCATCAGAGATGTGAGATATGCAGTTTCCTTGTAATTAATCATCTTCGTTATCTGCTGCTGAGAATTTTAAGCAAATACTTTTATTAAATTCATAGGTTTTCTCTTTTTGGTTCTTGAAACTGTTTTTTTCCCTTACTATAACCTGCTTTCAGGGTACATTTTTGTGAAAGCTTGGAAACAGTAGGATCAGCTGAGTCTGTCTTGGGCAAAGTAAGCATACCCAGCAAAACAGAAAAAAAGGGCAAGAAGAAAACCTGGGAGGTGAATTGATTTCCTTAGGTCAGATATCACCATCAAGGAAGACCTAGGACGACAGCTGTGTTTGCTGGCCACCTGACAGATCTCTCCTAGTGAAAGGATGAGCCCTCCCAGGTGGTGAAGCAACTCAAGATCTTTCCTGGCCCAAATGCAATCACTGAATCCAGCTGCAAAACACACAGACCCCAGGCGAGGCACATCTCTGCCTTATGGGTGCTCTGCTGAGCCCTGCTGCTGCCTGCTCCTTCTCATTTTGGACCTTCTTTTGGAGAGGGCTCATCTTCTGCCTTGTCTTCCTGCAGATTGGTCTTTCAAAACAGGCTTGGGAGAGGCAGCTGCAGCCCTAAAATGGCTGTGTTGTAGTAGGCTGCAGCTAGTACTGCCTCACTGCCTTCCTCCAGCTGGTAAGTGTGCTCAGTGCCTGTTATTTTTATCTTGAGCTTTTGCTTTGTTTTTGAGGATAATTGCACGTTATTGCTGCAATATGTTATAATAAGTGCTATGAAGATGGCTATTGTATCCAAGGGGAAAGAAGATGTGGCTGGGGAGAAAACTTAAACCTATGTGTCAGCAAAACAAACACGCCATGTTTGGGCTGTGTCAGTCAAGTGGTACCAAAGTGGCATTTAGGTTTTGGCCAAGTGGAGGCTGCAGGGCTGATCTTGTCCTTCTTTGCTTTGTTGGATGGAGTGTCTTGTGCCCGCTCCCACAGAAGAGTTTGTCACAAGCTGTAGAAGAGCTGCAGTGGCTGTGCTTTACTGCGGCTGTAGCTTAACTCCTTGCCTGGGTGATGGGAAGCCTTGTCCTGGGCAGCGCAACAGGAGTGAGGTAGGACAAGTGGATGCTGAAGCAACATCCATTTGAGGAAAAGGGCTATTAAAGCTAGCAGAACTGGCTCTTGTGAGCTGGAAAAGACTGGGCTCTTGGATTTTTAGACCCCCTTGTCCCATCTCCTATTCACTATGCTAGCTGTGGTCAGGTTTGCTCTCTTATGGTTTGTTTTTGGGTCAGATTTTGGAACTGACCTACAGATGTGGGACTTTAAGCTTAAAAAAATAATTCAGGACCTTGTAAATTAAGGCCTTAGGCTCTTTGAAAGGAAACAAACAGCTCTTATCTGTCCTAATGAGAGTCATACATGCATATTTTGTATCCAATTGTATGAATTATCTTTAGCAGTGATACTTTGTAAGACCATGTAATTTATGAGGTGGTTATCAGTGACTCATAACTATTTATTTATGTCTTAAATGCATTGTGTATGTTTGACTTGATCGGGTGGCATGTTTGCATGTGTGAGCGTGCATTTTATGTGCAAACACACAGACAAGAAAAGCAAGGCTTTCTCTAAGCAAATCAGCTTTGCCTTGTTAATGCCTCTGTAATAAAACGTGTTTTGGGGGATCCTGATGATAGATTGGAGGTAATCCAGTGTAGCTGCCCACTGCTTTGAGTAGTTCTCTTGGCTTTGGGGTGCCTCATCTTAAGTATGCTGTCTTGCATTAAGTATGTGCTGTGTAGGTGCTCTTGTGATGGCTGAAGAGAAGGCAGCCTGTTCTCAGATGTGGCTGTGTTCCAGCCAGCTCCACATCCAAGAGAGTGCAGCAAACCACTTTTGCTTAACTTGTGCTTTGAAATTGTTCAGAAGCTGGTTTGGTCTTTAGCACAGTTTGGAACAACCTTGAAGCTGCCTTTAGGATAGCTGTCAGGGGTCCCCAGTGTTGCTGTAAAAGCTGAGAAAGGCAGAACACCAAAGCACCCTGGTCACACATTTTGCATTGAGCCATGCTTCCTATACTGGGAGCTGCTGGGCAGCACTTGGGCAGAGTGAGCCCACCTAAACCTCTGTGCTGAGTGTTTCTTACTAACTATGTGATAGCTACAGAGACTTAGGATTTAAGCTGTCTCTGTTTATATTAGCTGCACACCACAGTGGTCAAATCACTATGTTAACCTTGTATGACAATGAAGGAAGCCCTGTATTTCATTTTATGGGTAGGTTCCCTTACTTTGTTCTTAACCCCCCCACCCCATGGCAATTGTAGACATGCGAATCTTGGAGCACATTGCTTCCAGACCATACTGTCTTGAAGGGAGTTACTGCATCAAACAGGGAAAGCAAAGCTTATGTTTAAGTTTTACCCCAAATGAAAGCTTTTTCTATTCTCTGTGCCGCAAATAGATTTTCAATTACAGGAAGCACATGCTGTAAGTGCACCCTAGGATCTGATTCCATGCTTTGTCTGTCAAGCTTGTGAATATGCTAACTTTTACAGTAATCTTCTTCTTTAGCATCACCTGTCTTACTCCAAAGTTACTATATATAACAACAAAAGGAAGGGCAAACCAGTCCATCTGCCAATAGCCACCAGCATCCTGTCTCTGTCAGACTTTATCGTGGTGATGTTGAACATTCCAACAATTCAGAGGTGCTCTGTGACTTGCTGGGCTTAAAAATCTGTTAGCATTAATGTAGGGCCAAATTCAGTTATTCACACCTGTGCAAAGCAGGCTCAAAATCCTACCAAATTGGAATTCCCCAGTCAATTACAGCCATAAACAGGCTGCAAGAGCGCACAGAGCAAAGGCCATAGTACTTTTTATGCAATATCAGAGCCTAGCTGAAGATGCTGCAACTCCGTGAACTTCCATTGTTGCACCCATTTGCACCAGGTGTGAATTTATCCTGCTGGCTTTTAGACAAAACCCTTGCTTTAGATCAGTCAGCAGCCAGCCTCTTGGTATTGTGCTCTCTGTATCTCCATAGCTGGTAATAGCAGCTATTGTTCTTTTCTGCAATATATTCATGGCATCAGGAATTATTACTCATGTCATAATACCATTGTGAGCTGTTTGTTTAATAATACAGCATCCATATCGTGTCACTGTAGCAATATCCTTAATTCTTTCTATTCTTAACTTCTGTTTTGAAGTGTTTATACTTTTAATTTAGCTTTTCAAATTCTCACTGGATGTAAGCTGGCACAAGGGGAAAAGGTTCATAAACACAGTTGAAAGAACCTGCCAAATAATTTATTGGCCATGCCTGATCAGAAAAGTGAGAACAAGTGTTATTTGCTTAAATGCTTAAAGCTTCTTTTTTTTTTTTTTTTTTTTCTTGGCAATAAAGGGTAAAGCAGACTTTATCAACACCTAGGAAGGAAAATGCTGGTGCTGCTTTTCTAATCCCTCCTCCACCACCCCCCACTACCCCCCCTCCCCCCCCACTACTGAGTGGATTAAAAAGTTAATAGTATCTTTTAATTTGACAAAGCAGGATACTGAAAAAAACCTCCCAAACCCATAGCTTGCCTTTCTTGTGTCAAGCAATTCAGGAATTTGTTAGGGTGGTTGTTCATTTAGGCAAGGATGTATTTGCCTCCTATCTAGAAATCTTTGAAACTATCTGTGCATCCCTGGTACCATGCAGAAAATGAATCTCCTTAGGTCTTCCTTTCTTCTCTTCTGTCTGCTGGCAGAAGAGAGGAGCAGGATGAAGTGAATATTTAGGCAGCAGATCTTCTGTCAAAGGTATTGGAGTAGAAATCTTATCCTATAAATAATTTGGGGTCAGGGAACATCTGAAAGCTTCGTTGTTGTCCCCTCTTTTTTCTTTCCTGTTTTTCTTTCCCCCCGTCTGATCAGCTTAGCTTCTGTCAATGTTAGACAATATCACTCTAGAGCTGTCTTTCCTGAAAACAGGAGAGTTCTGGAACATAAATGTAGATCTATTCTGCTGGGATATCTACAGTGACCCTTTACTAGGGCTCTGAGTAAATCTTGCCATAATTGATAGAAACAGCTTTAAAAGCAAAGCAAAACAGATCATGAAGAAAAGAAAGAGCTGATAAAGCTTCTAGCATCAAGAGTGTGCATGTTGAAACACTCTCTAATTATATATTTATCCAATCCAGTTAATACTACAGAGCTTGCAAAAAAAGCCCCATAATTAGGGGTTGTGAAAATGTCTACATAGCAATAATATGGCACCTAAATATAGCATCTTTCCTCCTGAAGCACTTTACATCATTTGAGAACCTCAAATTGACTCAACTCACAGCTGGCTTTCACAGGTGCAACCTTATTGATTTCAATGGAATAGTGCCATTTTTTTACCAGGTTTAATTTTGTCATAAATGGAAGTTTTATCTATCCTATGGGCTTGCAGGGCTGCCCATTACAGTAGTATCTGCATATCTTTTACATCAAATCAGCTGGCAATAGCAAAACCTTTAGCAGACTTTCGGAGTCTCTGCCACATCTGTCTTCTCATGCTGCATAAGTATTTGGTCAGTCTAAACTCATTTGTACTGTGTATTTTGGGGACAGAGAGAGAAGAGCAGCTGATGGTGGCAAAGTTGTGGTCATGGGCTTTGCTTACCGTTTTTGCTAGAATCTTATTTCACAGTTGTAATTTCTGGATTGGGAATGTCAGGACTCTGGTATTTGTGTTGCTCTGAGCACATCTGGAAGATCAGACGTGTTCCTAAATGTAGCAGGACACAAATTATGTATGTGTCATGATACCCATCATTGATAGGGTGAAAGAATAGCCCCATTCTTTCTCATTCATTCTCTGGGCATAATTTTATAATTGAATTTAAGACTGCTTCATATAACTTTAAAATTTTAAAGTGTACTTTGTCCAAATGGGAATTTGCCTACATCACCAGGGCAAAGACTCAACATTGGAAAGTTCCGCTGGACTCCCCTGTGTCAGAATGGGTCCTGGAGATTTTGTTCTACTTGTCTGCCACTTTGCAGATTACCTGTAAAACTCAAGACAAACCTTTTAACTACTTTGTACTCCTCTAACATGTGAAAGACGGTGTTTCCAGAGAGTGAAGTGAAAGAATTGCACTCCGAGCTCAGAAGGAAACAAAAGAGATGGTTTGTACGTTATCCATATTTGCTACTACTTCGAATTGCACAAGTTATCGACTGCTCATCTTGAACATAGCAGAACTTGGAATACTTTAAGAGAAAGATTAAAATGCTGTGCTGAATGGCTTCCATGTGGGGAACTATCGATTGTACTGAAACTCCTCAGCCTAAGGAAGAGGAGATGTTGGTGGGGTAGGAGTGAATTCTGCAAAGCAGCAGTCAGAAGGTGAGCAGGGATTGTTTGTTCTGTGGCAGTACATCAATTAAGGTCATTGAATGAACTAGAAGAAGCCAGGCCCAAAGCAGAGAAAAGGAGATGTGTGTTCTCCATGCAAGTGGTAGTGGACACAAGGAATTCACTGCCAAAGGTGCCTGTGGAGGCTAAAAGGCTTGTTAGGGTTCAAAGGATGACTGGACAAGTTTGTGTAAAGAAATGCATGGAGGATTAGTAAGTAGCTAGAAACCACATCTGCTTAGGAAATACCTTGATCTGAAAATAGCTGGAGGCTAGTAGAAATGT